AAAAAAAAAAAAAAAAAAAGAAGAAACTGAGTATGAAGATAGGTTAGGTTACTTGCTCAGGCTCACATAAGCTAATAAGTGGAGCAGGGATTTAAAATCTGGACTATCTGGTTCCAGAGTCTCTGCTCCTAACCACTAGACATATTGCCTGTGGGTACACAATCAGGCAAGGGGACTCTGTCTTGTTTTCTCTTGCTATTAGGGAAGGGATAATGGTGTACTCTTTGTTCCAGTCCCGACTGCTTGGCTATGGAATTGCATAGCCATGGAAATGCAACGGGGAAATGGAAGTGAGGCCAGGCATCAAACTGAATGTGACTGAGAAAAACAGAGAAGGAAAAGAGACAGTGATCTCAAGCAAAGGCATCTCAGTCACCCCTGTGGGGATGTGGGCCCCTTAAGGGGACTTACTAGGGCTTATAAATTTGCTGCATAGTACAAACACAGGGTAGGTTCTCAATAAAAGTTGGTTAATAAATCTTGTTGAAAATGAGAGATGAGGGAGGTGAGCTTGTAGGGATGTCACCCTATAAGCTTTTGTGAATGCATCTTCTGGAAGGAAGGAATATGGATGATGCCAGGCAAACAGGAAAGGATGGGCTAGATACATGGGGAAACTGGGAGCTGCTGACGGAAAAGCAGGGAGTGACAAGATCCAAGGAGAAGTCTCAGGGGAAGTTCTGAGAGAGAAGTGATTAGGATGGGGAGTAGAAAAGCAGGGAACAGGACTGTGGTGAATTGCATTATTGTTCCCAATTATTTGCTGCCCACCCTGTGGGAAAATTATACCTCCCCATATACTGCCATGTGACTTTCACGCCTCCTATAAGAGGACTATACTTCTGCACTCCACTGATGTCAGGCTTGGCCATGTGACTTGCTCTGGCCTATGGACTGTGAGCTGAAGTGATGTAAATCACATCTGACCAGAAGCTTTAACAACTATCACATGGTTATGCTGTGACTCTTTTCCCTCTACCAGCCTGGATCCTCGAATGAAGAAGACAGAACAGAGACAAAGCCAACCCATGGAAACCTGCAGCAGACGTGTAACATGAGCAAGAAGTACATTTCTGTTGTTGAAAGCCAGAGATATGGAGGTTGTTTGTTACTGCAGCATAACCTAGCAGTTCTCATTAAAAATGCAATTGGGGGGCCGGCCTGTGGCTCACTCAGGAGAGTGTGGTGCTGATAACACCAAGGCCATCGGTTCGGATCCCATACAGGGATGGCCGGTTAGCTCAGTGGGTGAGTGTGGTGCTGACAACACCAAGTCAAGGGTTAAGATCCCCTTACCGGTCATCTTTAAAAAAAAAAAAAAATGCAATTGGTACCTAGAAGTGAAGTGCTATAGTAACAAAAATACCTAAAATGTGTGGCATTCACTTTGGGACTGGGAAGTGGGCAGTGAAGAAGCTGGGGGCTGGAAAGATGGCTGTCCATATTATGCAGCTGCAAAGCATTTGGTAAAACTGTTGCTTGTAATAATGTGTAAGGAAGATAATATGCTGAATGAGCTTGTGCTTTAAGGGAAGAAGTTGAGAAACAGAAGCTTACTAGTATGTCTTGAGTGCTATTGGCTGCATTTGACAAGGCACTATAAGAAGGATATAAACTCGGAAAAGGATTGGCCAGTTCCCAAGTAGGGAGGAAATGGAAAAGAGAATCCAGAAATTCCAGGACTTGAAGGATTAAGAGATTCAACTATTTCTCATATTCAAATGATAAAAGATAAAATTGAAAAATGCTTTGAGCAGTAAGGTTGATTACAACTCAAACTTGGGTAAAAGACCAAATCAAGGGCCGGCCCGTGGCTCACTCGGTAGAGTGCGGTGCTAATAACACCAAGGCCCCGGGTTCGGATCCCACATAGGGATGGCTGGTTCGCTCACTGGCTGAGCGTGGTGCTGACAACACCAAGTCAAGGGTTAAGATCCTATATTACAGTTAAAAGACCAAATCAAGGGCCGGCCCGTGGCTCACTCGGTAGAGTGCGGTGCTAATAACACCAAGGCCCCGGGTTCGGATCCCACATAGGGATGGCTGGTTCGCTCACTGGCTGAGCGTGGTGCTGACAACACCAAGTCAAGGGTTAAGATTCCCCTTACCGGTCATCTTTTAAAAAAAAAAAAAAAAAAAAAAAAGACCAAATCAAGTGTGTGGCTATTATGCCATTTGTGGAGATCTCTCAATTGATTAAGATGGTACCCAATAAATCCTTCTAGTTGGACAAATGTACTCAGGGGAAAAAGATGAAAGTAGTGGCTTTCCCACAGAAGCCCGATAACGGCAAGGTACTTCTAATTAGGTCTAGAAACAGATGCATGTGTTGAATTGTGGGAAAGGCTACTGGTACACATGAGATGACAGAAATCAAAGGTATAGAAAGCAATTATGTTTTGAGGAGACTGGTACTGCCATGAGCTACCAGCCTGGGTTAAAAGAGACTGTAACTATTTGAGACTTAAAATGTCCCAACATTCCTCAGGCAGGAAGCAGTCTGGGAATGCTGCTCAGTCTCCAAGGAGGTTGTAATCTCCAACGTCCTTTTCAAAAGTGACCAAAGAGAACAATGGAAATGGAAGGACCTCCTGGAGGGCTGTGCCAAGTACTCTGGAGAACAATGCAACCCATAGAGCAGAAACAGGGCCTTATTAGAGAACAATCCCCATCCCCATGGAAGAGGGCCCTTGCAACATTTGTCTAGCAGGATTTCAGAATTGCTATGAATCAATATCTGCTGTGTGCCTTCCATTCCTCGCCTTTCTGAGAGTATTTGTTGTGGTTATCCTGACCCTCTTCCTTTATTTCATTTATGCTAGTGAGTATGTATAGGAGGCAGATGACTTGTCTTTTTAGTACACAGGTTTCTAGATCAAGAGGAGCCACATCCGGACTCGATATAGAAACCATCATGAAATCTAGACTTCGAGCCTGATGTCACGTTACGGCATCTTCCTTGAAAAGTGAGTGTATTTTACTTGTGGAAGGCAGGGAAATGAATATTTTGACCAAGTGGTAGACTATGGTAGATTGCATTATTGTTTCCAATTATTCTTTGCCTTCCCTGTAAGATTACATATCCTCACTTATTGCCATGTGATTTTTGATGTCTCCCTGAGGGAGACATATACTTCCCCACCCAGTGATGTCAGGCCTGGCCATGTCATTTGCTCTGTCAATAGAATGTGAGTAGAAGCAGTGGATGTAACATCCAAGCAGAGGCTTTTAAAATCATCACATAGTTCTAGGGTTGGCCCGTGGCTCACTTGTGAGCGTGTGGTGCTGATAACACCAAGGCCGTGGGTTCGGATCCCTGTGCAGGGATGGCCAGTTAACTCACTTGGGAGAGCGTGGTGCTGACAACACCAAGTCTAGGTTTTAAGATCCCCTTACTGGTCATCTTTAAATTAAAAAAAAAAAATCATCATTGCTCATTTCCTTCTGCCATGAGAAGGGAACATCCCATATGAAGCTGCACCTTTAGCTTGGATTCCAGAATGAAGACACATCAAACAGCCAACACAGAGCATGAGCAAGAACTAAACCTGCAAGTCACTGTTTTGTTACTGCAACATAGTCCACTAAAAGCTGACTAATAAATACAGGCATCTATGAAAAGAGTCAAAGCTGGCTCCTCTCTTTGGCTGTTTCTGTGCCTTCTCTCTCTTATCATCTCCCATCTGCTTAATGAGTAGCCTGAGTATCCTTTCTTTCGAAGGCTGGACGAAGATCCCAGTCTCTCTGAACTTGTGGATTACATGGTATTTGGAGCCTGTTTATGGGTTAAGATCCCCTTCCCTGCCTCTTCTTGATACACTTCTGTTTCAGGAGCTCCCCAGGTTGGGCCGCAGCCTGGTTCAGAACTCTGCCAAGAGAGAGTACTTGTTGGCAGGTAAGAAAGGTGGAAGTAGGGAGGACAGAGGGCAGAGTTGTGAGGGCCCAAAAGGATACTGCCAATTTCTCCCTCCACCTCTACTGATGATGTCAAATATAGAGCTTCATTATCATCCCTATCAGAATCTACCAGGTAGCCCATATTCTGCAGGATTAAAAAACACCCTCCAAGAGCCATCTTCCCCAGCTTATTCCACTCTAGGATGGGGGACTCACCAAGGCTGCGGACAGGGTGAACAGTCCAATAGATGTCCAGGCAGGTAGTTTGGTTCTTCATGCGCCGATGGCATGTACAGCCTATCAGAGAGGTGTTCCTGAGGGGCTGTGCTGCCTCTAAGCAGTCCACAGGGACTGATGGCTCCTTTGAGGGCAATGGGGTGCTTATACCAGTGGTGCAGGAATGCAGGTGGTGGTAGGCAGCATTGCAAATGGGGTCAGCCTGGCACTTCCTCCTGGCCTGGATACAGCTGTTAATGAGCCGACTCTCTGTGAGAAGGGGGCCCCCTGTGGAGGGAGAAATCAAGTGAGGTTCACATAAGGTCAGAGTAGCTGTCCGGGAGGACCAAGGTATCAGGTAGTGTGGGGGGATTCCTGATGAAATCTTGAGAAAGTCTTAAAGTAGCACAAAGGGCCTTTAGAAAGAAGTGTGTAGAAAAACAGAGACACTGATCAATGGAATAGAATAGAGCACCCAGAAATCAACCCACGCACTTACTGCCATTTGATCTTCGACAAAGGCACCAAGCCTATTCACTGGGGTCGGGACTGCCTCTTCAGCAAAGGGTGCTGGGATAACTGGATATCCATATGCAGGAGATTGAAACTAGACCCATACCTCTCACCATATACTAAAATCAACTCAAAATGGATTAAGGATTTAAATATACACCCCAAAACAATAAAACTTATTAAAGAAAACATAGGAGAAACCCTTCAGCAAATAGGGCTGGGCACAGACTTCATGAATATGACCCCAAAAGCACAGGCAACCAAAGGAAAAATAAACAAATGGGACTATATCAAACTAAAAAGCTTCTGCACAGCAAAAGAAACAATTAACAGAGCTAAAAGACAACCAACAGAGTGGGAGAAAATATTTGCAAAATACACATCCAACAAAGGACTAATATCCAGAATATATAAAGAACTCAAACAACTTTACAAGAAAAAAACAAGCAACCCAATCAAAAAATGGGCAAAAGAACTAAGTAAGCATTTCTCTAAAGAAGATATGCAAATGGCCAACAGTCATATGAAAAAATGCTCAACATCACTCAGCATCCAGGAAATGCAAATCAAAACCACACTGAGATACCATCTCACCCCAGTTAGGATGGCAAAAATCCAAAAGACACCGAAAGATAAATGCTGGCGTGGCTGCGGAGAAAAAGGAACTCTCTTACACTGTTGGTGGGAATGCACAATGGTGCAACCCCTATGGAAAATGGTTTGGAGGTTCCTCAAACAGCTGAAGATAGACCTACCATACGACCCAGCTATCCCACTCCTGGGAATATATCCAAAGGAATGGAAATCATCAAGTCGAAGGTACACCTGT